AAAAAAAAAAAAGAAGAAATAAAAGATAATCATACTTTTATATCTATATTTCCCATTTGTGATTTTATATTTCACACAGACACACACACACACACACACACACACATATATATATATACTACTTTATATTTGTTTGTATTATTCAATGCTGGGCATATCTTTTGCTGTTCATTTAGAAGTTAATCTTTAAAAACATTAAGATTTTAATGACACTGTTAAAAAAACTTTATCAAATATATCTCTTTTTTTTATAATGCACATTATTGTAATGGTGTAGCATTCAAAACGACTGATTTATAGTTTTATAGTTTTCATTTTTTATTTAATTGAGTCAAAATAGTATGTATTTTTAATATCTGCCATAGCCATAACATGAAAATTAATATTGGTGCATCCCCAATAATTTTATTTTTAAATTGCAAACTTCAGAATATTAAAATATCTTTGATGATGAATTTTTGATAAGGCTGATAAGGTAACGCCATATAAAATAAATGGGGGAACATTTTTTTAAACTGTATATTTTGGATTCATCATTGATTATAGGTTTACCCAGGCGGCTCTGGGCAACTACTTTACAGTGGAAGGGCAACACCCAGGCTGCTGTGGATTTATTACAAGATGATGTTCTCGTGGCTGACCCTGGAACAAAGTAAGCTAGTACAAAGATAGTATATTTCCCTCTTCAAACTTGTATTTAGAGGATGTTTAATGAATGAGAGGAGGTGTAAATAATTAATGACGGCAGATGCAATGAATGCACTTGTGGATTCTCCCTAGAGGAAGTAATTCTAGTCCTCTGCTGTCCTCAGATGCCACTACAGCAACCTGGCCTTCTCCCTGCTGGCCCACGTGATGGCGGAGAAGGTAGCGGGGATGGATTATCAGCAATGGGTGTCTGAAAATATCCTGCAGCCGCTGGGAATGGAGGACACTGGATTCGAAATCACCTCTCAAATAGAGAAACGAATGGCGATTGGTGTTTACTCAAGTGGGCATCCCGCACCCCTCTATGACCTTGGCTGGTATAGACCATCAGGGCAAATGTACTCCACACCTGCAGACATGGCCAAACTGGTGATGATGCTCCTGGGCGCATACTACCACCCGGTTCTCCAACCTGACACCCTCAAAACCATGTTAACTCCTCTGTTTCGCTGTGAAAATAACTACTTTGCTGAACAAACTGGCACACCATGGGAGGTCAATGAACAGTTGGGCTATGACATAATCCGCAAAGATGGAGATCTGGATGGTTATTCGGCCTCAGTCTCCCTCGTTCCTCGCTTGAAGCTGGGGTTGGTCACCCTAATGGCTGGAACCAAACCTGAAGATGAGGATCTGGTGGCTAAAGCCTACAGTTCACTCATCCCTGCCATGGAAAGTGCCTTCAGAGATGCACCTCGTGTTCTCATTCCTACTCCGGACCCTGTTCCCTACATAGGTTACTTTACTTATAGCAACATAACGTTCTATGAGATCAATGCAGACGCAGATGGAGTGCTGTCTCTGGAGCAGTTTGGACCTCAAGTAGACACAATGGTTCCTATGAAGTACAGAATTTTGAAACTCAGTTATCTGCAGGATAGGGTGTTCAGGGTAGTGTTTGAGAAGGAGTACCCATGTCAGCTCAAAGTTAACGCTGCTTCGGTGTCTCTTGAATCTCAGGATGGGCAGCTTTTTAACTTTTACATCTTTAACAAAAAGGGGCTCTCACCAGGTTTTGATGTCCCAGGGTTAAACACTTATAAAGTCACACGGATACATCGCAAACCAATTTTCAGTGGTTGAAGAAATCATTTGATCATGCTTTTGAGTTAATAAGCTAAAAGGTGCTCTTTAGGATGAAAGTGTCAAATTCTGAGGAACTTCAACCTATGATTGTGTACATTTTAATAAACTTTTGTCTCAAGATGCTGAATGTATATTTAGAATACTTTTTTTTATTTTTTATTTTGACCATTTTGAAAATGGTAATAGTATCTCCTGCTGTTGTTTTCCCTTTCTTCAGAGGAATATCTATACACAATTGACAACCGTCCATTTATGTGTGTTTCTAAGAAGCTTGAACTGCGTGTCTTAATTAAAAGTAAAGTGTGTGCCTTCCCTAAGGATTTGCACCTGTGCATCAGTTTCCAAAGTACCCAATTTTGTGTAACCTTGATCAGCACATTGCTGAGTTCAGCTAGAGGTAGTTAAAAGCATATTTCAGCTCTAATACTAATGTCTTTTTTTCTAAACATTTTATTTGTCTTTAAATGCAAACCAGTGTAAAGGCCCATTCACATCAAGGATGATAACTATAATGATAACTATACGGTTTTAAGCAATTTAATTGTATGAGAAAAGGAAAATCCATAACACAAATAAAATGATATTGACACAGAAACAATATCATTGGAATCACTTTCAGAACTATTTTTCCCAGCTGATGAACACTAAAAACGTTCACAAACAATCAGAATCCACCTGACTCTATAGCATTTAAAGGTTCAGATAACAAAACTGCAGCATGTGATTAATGCAATGTTATGGTGAGTTGATGTGGATGCTAATACAGTTACTGTTATATTTTTCTTTATAGTTATCATTCTTGGTGTGAACAGGCCTCATTTTAGCATCTTGATTTTTATCGATAATGTAAATGTTGTTTTTCTAAATCAATATATTTTACACAGTATTGTATAGCCTATGTACTAACCTAAACAAATAAAATACATATACTTAAATATCTATATTATATATATTCTCCAAAATTTGAGATGTTAACATAATAATAACCAAACTTTTTAAAACTGTGCATTTTAAACATTTCATAATGTTTCTTAACTTCATGGGAAAATTAGCAAAACATATTAGAATATAGAATAATTGTTGCAATGTACAATGTAGAAAAACAAGATATACTTAAGAAATGAATTGTGACTTACCAATTAAAAATACATTTATTTGTGCACACAAAGTCCATCAAAGGCCTGAACATTTGAGCTAACATGGTCTTGCTGAGATAAACACTAGCTGTAATCCGCTGTCATTGCCCTGTTGTTTCTTGGGAATCAAGTCTTGAGGATACTGACAACTGGGAAAATCAAGCTGTACATAACTGTTGACCTACAAATCTTCACAAATCAATATGTTAGAGGACAGTTCACAACCATAAACTGAGCAACCGAAAAATAAGTGACCTGGAATATTGTACTGTACCTTTCTGTTATCCAGCACAATAAAAGTGTATAACACAGTTAATCATCTTACAATTTATGATATCTTCCAAATCAGGGAGAAAAGAAAAAACACAAACACTTTAGACTAAGAACAATTTTTTTTTTACCAGTCATCCTCTTCATGCTTAAGGCGTTCATCTTTTAGGATATTCAAGTGAATGTTTTACATCTTGATTCTGGAATCCTCCAGCAATTGCATGTACCATGTAAGATTTGACAAAAGTAAAGAATGGCTTTAACATTAATACATTTATACTAATAAATAGGCTACCAATTGATTGAGATTGAGCTCACTTTCTCTATGGAGTCAATCAGGCTATTCCTTTTATGGATAAAAATGTGTTGAAAGTATGTGCTTGGTTACAAGAGAGCATTATTAATTTATAAATTATTACTACATTATGAAAATTATACTGTATATATAGAGACTAGGCTATATGTCAGTCTCTGAACTGCGTGTCCAGCTGTGGACGCAAGATGTCCCTGTAACACCACAAATAGGGGCCGAACCATAAACACGAAAAGGTTTGCATATTTTATATGTACACATACAGCGATTCCATTTAAACCGCAATTAAAAAAAAAAATCTAAAGCCATTCTTTTTGGCTGTTACAGCGTTTATTAGTATATCCTTGGCTGACATCCAAGTATTTTTTATTTTTTTTTATTGCTTCAAACAGATTAACAAAAGATTTTAACATATAAATACAACACAACCTATTCACATTATTACAATCATACAACTTACAGGAACAAAAAATAAATAAATTAAATTAAAATTATAAAAAAAAATAAAAAATAAAAAAAATAAAACAGATATTTCTTCCTTTTCCCTAGAGACACATTTAGTATACAAATGAGTTGAAAAGCATAGCGGGGACATTATTTTTCAAAGAATTTCTCCATAAAATTTAACAAAATTTCATTCTTTTTGTTATTAATTAACACTAAAGACTTTTTAACAACTCCATTTCTTTTAAGAATACTTCACATTTAGGTATACAATCCGCAAATTTTTGTTTATGAATGTAATATTTACCATGCAAAATGTAAAAGTTTACAACATATTTAAACATTTTGCTTTTGTGTGTGTAAGAACATATAACATCTTTTAAAGATAATTTATAATTAACATTTCTTGGGGCAAATAGAAAAAAGCTAACATCAGACCAAAATTTCAAAGATAAAAATTACTTATTTGAATTTTTCATTGATACAACATGGCACTGAGTTGTTAGAAAATATTTGTTTTCTTTTTTTCTTTTTCTTTTCTTTTCTTTTTTTATTATTGCTTCAAACAAGATTAACAAAATATTTTAACATATAAATACAACACAACCTATTCACATTATTACAATCATACAACTTACAGGAACAAAAAATAAATAAATTAAATTAAAATTATAAAAAAAAATAAAAAATAAAAAAAATAAAACAGATATTTCTTCCTTTTCCCTAGAGACACATTTAGTATACAAATGAGTTGAAAAGCATAGCGGGGACATTATTTTTCAAAGAATTTCTCCATAAAATTTAACAAAATGTCATTCTTTTTGTTATTAATTAACACTAAGGACTTTTTTAACGACTCCATTTCTTTTAAGAATACTTCACATTTAGGTATACAATCCGCAAATTTTTGTTTATGAATGTAATATTTACCATGCAAAATGTAAAAGTTTACAACATATTTAAACATTTTGCTTTTGTGTGTGTAAGAACATATAACATCTTTTAAAGATAATTTATAATTAACATTTCTTGGGGCAAATAGAAAAAAGCTAACATCAGACCAAAATTTCAAAGATAAATCACAGTTGTAAAACAAATGACCCAAGTCTTCCTCGTGTATATTACAAAAACTGCATTTGTGCTGACATCCAAGTAGGTTACGATTTCCGGATAGTGCATTCCGTACTTCCGTATACACTCGTTGCAAATTCCACTCTCCGAAGTGTCACGAAAACACCCGACGTAAAACGAAAGGTCGGTCCTGTAGGACTGCTGGAGGCGGCCACTGCGCCATGTTGAACGGAATAATCACACTCCGTGGAGATACTCTCGTCAAAGAGCAGTTGTAAACAAAGTGTTATTCATTTTCCAAAAGGGGGCTCGCCTGTCAAGATCGCCCTGGCAAAAAGAGGCCAACTAGATCCTCGGAAACCCCGGCCGGGGAGGGGGAACAGCCCCCCAACCTTCAGCAATGAAGATAAACCACAATAAGCGCTAGCTGGCTAACTTTAGCCTGCTATTCTATCAATAATCTAGCTAGCCTGTTAGCTCAAGCTTTTCTATTCGCTCAGACACCGGCAACCTGCTCCTAAAAGGCCCGGTGTTGACGTAACTCGCCAGCAATATTTTTTCTTACGTGGACAGTTTAACCGCTAGCTAATTTATTATTGTAAATATCTGTAAAGCCGTGCGTTTGTTTTAGTTTTTTTGTTTTATTTGCGATGAGTTTGCCGCCGAAAGCGGTGCCGAAACCAGCCGCTGCTGCCGCCGCTGGACCTGGGACCGGACCGTCACTCTCGAGTCAGCTGCGGGCCACCCTGACCACAGTGCCGCTACCACAGGGGACGCCGGTGCCTCAACAGCCGCAGACACAGTATCCTTCTCTGAAAGCATCTTGCTCCATCACAAATCTGTATCTGTGGTTGTTTAAAAACATAGTGAGCCGCCTACCTGGATAGCTTTTTTTAAACATCATAGGCATTCGATTAAATCTGTATATGATGCCCAAAACTGCTGTCTAGGCAGGCGGGCCACTAGGTTTTGACAGCGCTAGAGTGTGTTGTACTGTGTACCAGCTAATACCGGCTTTGATTTGGTTTGGTTGTGGCTTAAGTCAGGTTTTGTTTCTTGAACATGGAGGTGCTAGTACGTTAGTGTAGTAACAGTGTTTAAAGTTATGTGGCTTTCAAAAGCCGAGCTGTCAACCCGCAGCCGGTTTGGGCTGATCCGGCCGTGTGCTAAAGCTAGCTCTCCTTTTCTGTTTCGCTTGAAATAAATATTTATATATTTGTGTCATGATTTATTCACTCTTTATGCTGGTATAAACCAGTGAATGAATTTCCACTGCGAAACACGTTATGTTAGTCAGAATGACAGCCTCTGTCAGCATTTACTGCATCTGTTTCAATACACTGACAGTGAATGGTGACTGAGTCAGTCATTCTGACTAAAAATCTCATTAGAGTTAGTAAATTGTGACAGAGTTGTATTTATTTATTTACTTTGGATGAACTATCCCTTTAAGCCATTGAATAGGTGAATAGGGTAAATTAGATATCACCATACTTACCTTTTTGATTAATTACAGTGTATTGTTAAGACACAGTACATGTTTTGCTTTACAAGTTTTCTGAAATGTTGTGTTATTATGCAGATGAGGCATTTCATTAAAGCCAGGATTAATGCCAGGATGTTTGGGGTATCTCTTATCACTCAGAAAATAAATCCTATCAATACTGACAAAATTCAGAAAAAAAAATCAATGTTTCTTGTTTTTAATGTTATATAAATCAGGTGATTGATATATGAACTCTATAAAAACCTTCAGATTATAGATAAGAATAAAACTAAAGTCCAGTGTAAATAAATGCTACTGAGTGGAGATTTCTGGTTCAGTGCGAGATTTTAAATATTTTGTATTTTAATCCATAATGTAATGCGTATAGTGCAATTTGGAGAAAATGTATAGTGTTTACTTAAATGTTTATTTTGTTTTTCCTTTGGTCTGAATGAAGACATTTTATGTAAGCAAAATGTCCCAAAATCTTAAACTTGATAAGTGCATAAAAAAACAACGACTTTAAATGATTTTCACCAAAAAAATTAAAATTCTGTCATCATTTACTGTGAAGTTGTTCAATTACTATGGAAGTCAATGGCTGCCATCAACTGTTTGGTTACCAACATTACTCAAAACATATTCTTTTGTGTTCAGCAGAAGAAAGACACTCTTACAGATTTGGAACAATTTGACAGAATTTTCATTTTTTGGATGAACTATTCCTTTAAGATTGTTTCACATCTTGGTAAGCTATATGCTGCCCACATCATATACCGCTTATATCTATTCCTTACAGTTAGTTAGGGTGGACTAAACACTGTTCGGGTTATATGTTTTCCCACAGAGATAAACTGCCATACTTTTGCTTGCCCTCAATGTCTTGTTGATATTTCTTTATGGCTC